AGTGACCACAGAATGAATCTGCAATATCAGTTTGCAGGTTCCAAAGTGCAAGATTTCACATTGGTTTCCCTGAGTTGCGGACAGACCAGTGGACGGATGTATGTACAGTTACGTGACTACCAAAATTTTTCCAATGGATAGACAACCAAATTTTCTTAGCTATGGGGTTCCGCTAGGATGATCACTGCCACCAGAATAATTTATTCACCTAGAACCTTCTACATGTAGAGGCCTTTTTGGGTAGTACAGATCTGGGACTCCTGAGTAACGTTTCAACTCTTTGCTAGAATTGTTTCCATTATAATATTATCTACTGTCACCAACATCACTGAACATACCTTTTGTTTGAAATACTGTTTCGCATAGTTCTTCACTTGGAGAGTTGTTCGAGTATGTATTATCTTTGCAATCTTTGTCCAGCTACGCCCATACACACCCTTAAAGTATGTGCAAGAAAAATAATTATCATCAGATGGTAACCCAGTTGTTAATTAAAATCAAGGTGCTCTAAATACTGTAAAAGATGGTGTGAGAGATGATGCTGNACTCACAACTTCTTCAACATTGGCAACCACAAACATTTCATCACATTGTTCCTGTATTCCTTGAGTTTCATCTATTTCAAAAGTTACAGGACTCTTGTTCTGGAGAATGAAGGATATAAAAAACACACAATGAGACAGTAATGTAGAGATTTAGCCCAGGCTAAAGGTGAAGCTCTTTTTCATAAATTTATAATTTACTTCAAATAATAAACTTGTAACCACTGCAAAGAAATCCACCTGGAGTTAAGCCTGCGATCAGTTGAAAACTAATAACTTGTCAGTGGATAACATTAAAAAAACACATGACCTTGATGGGTTGACAGCTGACTGTCAATTGACCACACAACTGTCAAGTGACCACAGAATGAATCTGCAATATCAGTTTGCAGGTTCCAAAGTGCAAGATTTCACATTGGTTTCCCTGAGTTGCGGACAGACCAGTGGACGGATGTATGTACAGTTACGTGACTACCAAAATTTTTCCAATGGATAGACAACCAAATTTTCTTAGCTATGGGGTTCCGCTAGGATGATCACTGCCACCAGAATAATTTATTCACCTAGAACCTTCTACATGTAGAGGCCTTTTTGGGTAGTACAGATCTGGGACTCCTGAGTAACGTTTCAACTCTTTGCTAGAATTGTTTCCATTATAATATTATCTACTGTCACCAACATCACTGAACATACCTTTTGTTTGAAATACTGTTTCGCATAGTTCTTCACTTGGAGAGTTGTTCGAGTATGTATTATCTTTGCAATCTTTGTCCAGCTACGCCCATACACACCCTTAAAGTATGTGCAAGAAAAATAATTATCATCAGATGGTAACCCAGTTGTTAATTAAAATCAAGGTGCTCTAAATACTGTAAAAGATGGTGTGAGAGATGATGCTGTACAACAGTGATTGAAAAAAGCCCCATCCAGTAGTCTGCGACAATTAGACAGTAGACTTCCATGCTGGGAGAAGCAGCTTTTAAAAGCTCACTTGCTCAATGGACAAGTGTCCAATAAGTCATCCTCTAACAAAATCATAGGAAAGTTGCTTACCCAAAGGACAACATGGAATTCAAGATTTTTTCAAGCCCTGATTCAAGGTAGGTATGTTGTCTGCCCTATTATGCAAACCCATCCACAAATTGAAGAGATGACCACTTCCCTTCATGGTAAGAATAGTCCCTGGGGAAATTAAGATGAATATATTTACCAGTCCCTGTTCAAACAGTTGTTGTTCCTCCACTGTCCAGGGTTTTCTATGGGTAACAGAAAGTTCCCTAATGAGAAAACAATGAAAGCCAAACAATGAAGCCCCAATCAAGCATTGGTACCAGTACTAACTAAAATAGAGCTGTAGTAAATATTGAGTTCATTTTTTGATTCAAAACTGTGCCTTAAGTCAAAAAAGAACTACAATCAGATTAGATTAGTGAGGTACCAATCATCAAAGTACCACAGGAAACTGAAGCCCAGATCACAGGATTCTGGACTGCTTCCCAGCCACTCTGATCAGAGTAAGCAAGTTGATGGATTCCAAACAACAGGAAAATCTAAAAAAATATGATACTGCTTAACTTACTTTCTAGATTTTCTGATACTCCCTTTGACCTTAGTGCTTGGTGACCTGATTATAAAAGTAGGTTCTCAATAACTTTTCCATCATGTTTATACATGTTTATAACAAGGTGTCAACCTTTTAAGCCCCAAGATCCACATACAAACTCTCCAGACTGTTCTCCATACATTTCTTTTGAGAATAGTTGAGAGAATTTGGTTTAAGATCAAAGCGTTCTCCCTTTGGTAATCAATTTAGTAATTCTCATAACCTTTACTCTTGTTGATCTGCTGATGTTGTTAGGAGAAAATTGATGTTGGTCTCTCTTGGGACCTAAAGGGTTAAGTGGCTAAAGCCAGATTTGTTTTGGTTCAGTGAACACAACTTCAAATAAATGACCTCTTGCATGCAGATGTTGAATATTACTTCCAGTGTTTTTTATTGTATTCAATTAAAGAAAAAGGTGCCAAAAAGGGCATATAATAAATAACTTATTAACGTTATCCGTTCGGTCATTATAGGGAATTCTCAGACCTAGGCCTTGATGTATTGACCTCATCAAGGACTCATCTGAGATTTCCCTGTAATGACCTCACTCCTGGTTAATAAGTGGTCTGTATCAGTCATTATCAGCAAAATAAAATATATTATTACCTTCTCACAGGGTG